GTAGAAATTGATTTAGTTCGTCATAAGCATCGGATCTTCATACATTTACGGTATGTTCAGCTTTGTTAAATGCATTTTCTTTTCGCGACGAGTAATCTTGTAGTTGTCGAAGAACACTGTTTTCAAATTCTAATGCTATTTGCAAAATCACGTACGAGGACAAGTATTTGCATGCCAGTTGATAAGTGAACAAAATCCATATCAACGAAAGTCCACATCGCCGAACAGAAAAGTGACCTAACGTGGCGACCAACCCAAGGCTTTGCATAAACATCATCGCTCCGATACTATGTATATAGATGACAACACCAGTGCATGCTGGTGCGCTGGACAAGCTTCTCCGACAATATCGAAGAAAACAATATCGGTTCTTCGATCGAAAGTGCCGAAAGAAAGCGAAGCGAACGTCGCCGTGGGTTATCCAAAATGGCGGCGACAATGCCGGTACTACGAACAGTCCGCTGTTCGTTCGTTTTCATGGAATATTTCGCATGGGGAACCCGTTAAGTACACGCAGGACGGCCGGAAACATGTTAATATTTCTCGAGACCGAGACTTCCAGGTCGTGGAGGAGAGGATTGCAGAGAGAAAGAGAAGAGAAACGCGTGCACGCGTGCGACTGACGTGTCCCCTGCTTATTGCCCGGTTACATAGGGATTGCGTAAACACGTACGCCAGGTATTTCTGGACACAGGTAAGCAACGAGGCTCTTTTTTATGCCGTAGGAGGCACAGCGGTACATCTTTCGGTGCACCTATTCGCGGCTGTTTACTGCGAGCTGAAATTTCCGCCTGGTTCGTACGCGACGCAGGATCTCCGCGATACGATACCGGATACTAAAGTTAATCGGTTCCAGAGAAATTCGCCGGGAAAATTGATGGGATTAAGGAAACATCAGCCTGAGGCCAGCTACAGCGACAAGTACTATAGATTGTGAATGTTTATGCTAATTCGCAGCGTCAAAGGTGGACTTTCTTTTCCGTTCTGCTCGTGGACGCGCCTGGCTTCCATTACGAATATCTCTTTGCACACCGTGCATTGTACTCGTTAATATCAAACCGCGGATTTTTATGCGAAATAAAAATTGTTCGCACCAATTATAAGACACAGGTGCTACATAAATATTTACAGTAAGTTCTCCCTAATTGACCCTCAACTTGTACACAAGAATAGACAATTTGAGAAGAGGAAATACGATTGATCGAGCCTTGCGACTCCCAACGACTGCCAACAACTATAATAATCGTATCTCCGTTTCCCAACATGTCCGTTTATGTTTCCAAGCCGAGGGACAATTGGAGAGAATTCACTGTACTTACAAGTTTCTTAAATGTTTGTACAGTTTTGTATTCGATCAACTCGTTTTCGTTATAAATTCGTATAAATTATGTTAATTAACCACCGTTTGAACACCGTAAATAGTTTCACCAGAAATGCTCGAAACTTTTAATGCGATTTCAGAGCATTTTGGAATCGATCCTGTCTTTTACATATTCGTTTCCTATCTGTCGAATACCATAAATAATTTTACCAGAAATGCATATCATAATAAAATATATATGCATATAATAAAAGGCATAAAAAGTAGACGGCGATATTGCTTTTTTCGCTATACATTGAAATAACGTTTCTGGATATATTACTATAGAATAGAGAATTAATTAGAGAATTATTTTTTTTAATTAGAGAATTAATTAGAGAATTGCAAAAAGAATGAAAGTTGTTCCGTAAGATTATGCGTCGGTTTTGCCGAGCCCAAGGGCTGTTAATTGAATGAAACGATTATTTGTGAGACACGGCCGCGTAACGAATTTTCATTTTCTGCCGTTTGGTCCTGTTATTAATGATAATAGATGACTGTTGATCAAGAAATTTTCAATTTCCACGATTATTAATATCCGCAAGAGCCAGTCTCCGAGACAGCCAATAGCTTCGTATGTATACCTTCCGCTAAATGGCGATTACATAACGTAAGGATTATACGCTGGCAGGAACATAGAGAGGTCGGTAAATGTTCTTCCCGCTGCTAACAAGAAAATTGCTCATTGCGCGCGACGTCTTTTTTTACTTCCCATTAAAAACGCACAACGCTCGTTTAAACAGTTTCACGAATTCACTCGGCGCATACTATGATAAAAATCGCGAAAAATCTAGACACGACTCCGTTATTTTCACAAGGCTCGCGCCAACTTGGTAATTTCACCGTCGATCATTTAAAAAATTCATATCTTCTACAAATGTTTGTGCGTTGTTCTGCAAATATCTCACGTTCTTCTACAAATATTTTCTGTTTAATTAACAAATGTTAATTGCACCAGCTGCACAGCTTATTATTTATTGTCTGCAATTAATTAATACAATATACACCGTCCGTTGAAAAATGAACCGTCGGTGTGCACAAACCTCGACCGATGACATGTTTTCGCGGGTTCGGCTACTTTTTGCGGACGGTCGCGTCACGCGCTCGTGTGCATCATGCAACGGCCGAGGGGACCCCGTCACTTGGTTAATTAGCAATTACACGCATATCTGCGTGTCTCGGATTCCAAATTAGAGCGGCGTTCGTGTCCGATGCACAATGATAAATCCATGGGACGCGAGCGAGCGCACGCGCACACGCGTAAGTGCCCGCGAACGAGTGTACAATAATGAGTTATTTAAATTTTCCTTGCAACACGCGACGCTAATAAGCAGAATTGCTCGGTAAATTCCGGCATTTGCGACGCGACGACGGGTTATAGCTGATAAAATCGATGATAATGTGGTAATCGATGTAAATGTTGTCCACCAACGCGCGCACCTACTCTCGATATTTGTGTTGCGTTCGCGTATAAAACGTTGGCGAAAAGTTTCATACAAAGATCGATTAAAATTCTAAACATTGTATTTTACATACGATTTAATGGTTGCATCGCTTCGAAAACTCGTTCTCCGATCTGTTCCTAGCGTTGTAAAACTACGGTACACGTCAACAGGAAACCTATTTATTTTTATCTATTTAGTATACCGATACGTCAGCCTTTATTTTTGCGCCGATGTATCAGCCGTGCTGCTGTACAATGTTTCTATTCACGAGACGAAACGGTTTCGCCGCGATACAAATTGTTCGCACGCGAAATGAGAAGAGCTAGTAAGAGATTCTAAAGATAAAGATAGTTGTGAATATAATTTGTAATTTATTATTAATTTATTCCTGCTGATGCAGGAATAATTAGTCGAAAAGATTTTCATTTGTATTATAAAATTTTCAATTTCATAATTTCAATTTATATGTTTATCAAAAGGAGCAAATCAATTGCACAGAAATCTAACATTTTGTGTAATAATTTTAGACAAAAGATGAGAACTTTTCTGAGTTTAGAAAAAAGACGACAAATTTAAAAATGTTACTTTTGAGCTAAATGGCTGTTATTTAAGCATTTTTTAAGATTTTCCACCAAAGACATTGCTACAAATTTTGTGACACATCTACCTATGTTCAAGTAAGATAATATATTTTTTTTAAACTGTCCACTAGTTTTACCTCGATTATCCGACCCAATCAAAATAATATAACAAAACAGTGGTAAGAATAATAAGAATAATGTAATATTTTTAAATTTCAAATGCAATGGAATAAATAATAGATTAGTTACCTAGATACAGTCCCGCAATATAACCTTACTTTCAGTTTACATTCAGCTATCTACATTTATCACGTTAAGTATAAAAAATCGATCCGAAAAATTCCCACAAGATCAGGCATTGATTAACCAAACTGAGACTGGAAAATTGAAATTTCCTATAGAAAAAATATTAGTTTAACTCTTGTATACGTATTTCAAAAGTCCTGGTAAAATTCGATTTCTTTGTAATATTTCTCAATAAAAATAAATTTTGAAAGCTGGTTATACAGCATCGCGTACCGTGTCCAGTCATTATTGACCGGATGTTACAACATACGATATGATTACCGGTTCTTACCGGGATCGTAATTATTGAGAAATATGTAGATAGATGCTGTTTGATCTCTCAAGTCATCAGTACCTGAGAAATAAAAACCGTCGATCAACATCTCTCGTTATTCGTGCTCAAAAAATGAAGAACACCTTTTTGCATCATCGGTTGTCAATATCCGACGAAAGTGACGGGTCAACAGTGTCTTAAAATCTATTTGTACTGGGTTATCCAAAATAGGAAGCTTCTTTCGAATAAAGAACAAACTATTTTGAATTTTATTGTTTTTTTTTATTTAATTATCAAGTATCATCTATGACAATCACGTGTAAAATATATAATAATATATATATATCAAAATTCTATGTTTTGGCACATTTGCTCGTTTAATTCACCAATTTCATTTTTAATGTTGTTTTTTAGGTTATACGAATTGTTGCCGATTTCTTGGCATAAACTTTGTTTTTCAAATAAACCCAAAGAAAAAGGTCCAGTGGGGTGAAATCACACGAACCAGGTGACTAATTCACATTGCCATTTCTCGCAATAAAGTGATGTTTTCACACGATGTGAAAAACAGTGCTTATGTCGATTCCACTTAATTTCAGCCATAATCAATAATTATTTCATTATAACGTGCACCATTCGCTTCAACTGTATCTTCATTCTCGTTTTCGAAAAAGGATGGACCAATTACGCCTTTCGACCAAAATCGACATTAAACGGTAACTTTACTACTATAGTTATATATATAACTACTATAGTTATATATATATTATATATTTATATATTTATATCGTTAAAATTGCAAACATTACGTTCGACAGGTATTCTTATTCAACATCCTGAAGCTACTTTTGGATAACCCTGTACAGTAGCGAATTCAAATGAGCGAGGTTCGGACAATCGAAGTTCTACCTTCTACCGATAAAGGAATACGAATTAGCCACTTTTAGTGTCCGATAGGTTCCATTGGTGAACGCGACAGAGAAGTAGTGCATCAACCGAGCGGTATCCCGGTTCTCGATCGCAGATAAAGAAAGGCAAGATGAGTGTTCGCATACCCGGTGTGCGCATCGCACGAAGACCCGGTCCAAGGGGGACTTGGAGTCCTCAGCCTTCGTGGTCTTCTCCTTGCACCAGGCTTGCCCCATTTTTCTTCCTGTCCCGCTATTATCTCGGCCGGTCCTCTCACCTCTTTGCGTTACCGCCTCTCCTCTCCTCGCCGAGTTCTCTCACCGATAAGGCCGGATAATGTAGGCCATCCTGAATACCCCGTTCCTCGTGACCTGCCGCAACCGGCGCGACTCTCTGTTCTCCACTGCTCGAAAACAACCGACCGAATGTTCGCCGGTTGACCTCTTCACGGCCACCTGGTGCTGAGGACGCAAAACAAAAAGAAGGATTTCAGAGAGATCGACGACAACTCGACGCGATAAATCGATAGATAGACCGGGAACACCCACCCCTCTCCCTCCGCCCTTCGGCGTGATTTAGGGGACCGAGGGATTCTAAGGGACAGGTATCGAACGCCGTTCCAAGTTTTATGGTCCTACGGAATAGCCGTTATTTGGAGCGAGCCGAGGGACATTCGTTTATTACCTGCGAGTATTTATGGATTTTGATTGTGGAAATTATACGAGTTATAGTAGAGAATGTATTCGATCATTCTTGACCCAGGGGACGAGATAGATTTCCATGCATGCCGCGGCGAGATACAGGAGTTTCATCGCTGTCCGCGCCGTTGAATGATGATAGCTTTCCTTGGCATGCGTTTCTCAGAATAGTCGAAACTCTGTGAATTGCGTTACGTACGCTCGAGACGCAATTATTTCTGATAAGCCGCCGACAGTTTTCGCGAAGCGTCCACGGACCCCTCTGCGAACCAAGTTCTGCGATGATAGGACGCCAAATGTGCAGTAAAAGTAAACATTGAAATTTTTGAACGCAGTCATGAATTTTTCATAAAGAAGTAAACGTTTCGAACCACATTTAGGACCATTGAAATGTATTAATATTGATTAAGCATTGCTGTCACGTGAATCGTATATTTGAAAACATTTTTGAGGCATTGGATTAATTATTAGAAGAAAATGAAATGAAATGCTGTTTTGGACGTCCAGTAAAAATAAAAGATATTATTAGAAAATATATTATTGGGTTGGCAACTAAGTAATTGCCGATTTCAGTTATATAGATGTCTCTCACTCCCACTTTTATGATATCCGTAGATGTTATATTATAAAATTATTATTATTATTATTATTATTATTATTATGTTATCAAGTGTACGAGTACAGTAATTTCTCCCTAATTTGCGCTCAGATTTCGCANGTTCTCCACTGCTCGAAAACAACCGACCGAATGTTCGCCGGTTGACCTCTTCACGGCCACCTGGTGCTGAGGACGCAAAACAAAAAGAAGGATTTCAGAGAGATCGACGACAACTCGACGCGATAAATCGATAGATAGACCGGGAACACCCACCCCTCTCCCTCCGCCCTTCGGCGTGATTTAGGGGACCGAGGGATTCTAAGGGACAGGTATCGAACGCCGTTCCAAGTTTTATGGTCCTACGGAATAGCCGTTATTTGGAGCGAGCCGAGGGACATTCGTTTATTACCTGCGAGTATTTATGGATTTTGATTGTGGAAATTATACGAGTTATAGTAGAGAATGTATTCGATCATTCTTGACCCAGGGGACGAGATAGATTTCCATGCATGCCGCGGCGAGATACAGGAGTTTCATCGCTGTCCGCGCCGTTGAATGATGATAGCTTTCCTTGGCATGCGTTTCTCAGAATAGTCGAAACTCTGTGAATTGCGTTACGTACGCTCGAGACGCAATTATTTCTGATAAGCCGCCGACAGTTTTCGCGAAGCGTCCACGGACCCCTCTGCGAACCAAGTTCTGCGATGATAGGACGCCAAATGTGCAGTAAAAGTAAACATTGAAATTTTTGAACGCAGTCATGAATTTTTCATAAAGAAGTAAACGTTTCGAACCACATTTAGGACCATTGAAATGTATTAATATTGATTAAGCATTGCTGTCACGTGAATCGTATATTTGAAAACATTTTTGAGGCATTGGATTAATTATTAGAAGAAAATGAAATGAAATGCTGTTTTGGACGTCCAGTAAAAATAAAAGATATTATTAGAAAATATATTATTGGGTTGGCAACTAAGTAATTGCCGATTTCAGTTATATAGATGTCTCTCACTCCCACTTTTATGATATCCGTAGATGTTATATTATAAAATTATTATTATTATTATTATTATTATTATTATGTTATCAAGTGTACGAGTACAGTAATTTCTCCCTAATTTGCGCTCAGATTTCGCATAAAAATGGACAATTTTGGGAAGAGGAGATACAATTATTGTCAAATGAACGCTTCGTTGTCGTCTCGCGTTGCGAAATTGTAAGCATTCGCGAAGTTGTCGTGATCGAAGAATCTATTTACAAGATTCAATGCCTGCAACGTATTATTAATAACAACACGTAAACGTTATCGGATTGCGTTCAACTTGTTCAAGCATCGCCGATAACGGAGGTGCTATAAATGCGCGCACTCGTGTATATTTCATACATTCACGTCAAATTATGCATATCCGTTAAAATAACGGTTTCGTGAACGCAATTAATATAAATCTTCTGTGTGTTTAATTCTCGCTTTTTCGAAACGATACGGAAATACATATATTTTCGATATATTCGAACTAAACAAGATCGATAACTGATTTATTTAAAAAAATTTTACTACGTTCGATATATCAATGTTCCGCGAAGATTTATTTCAATGATTTGTTTCAATGATATATTTCGATAATTTTCTTCAACGATTCGATAAATTTCCTCGAAGCATTTTCAAAATGTTTTAGATAACGATAAAACTGAAACTGCTCTTACACCCGCGCTTTAGAACTGATTTAAAGACTATTTTTAAGAAGCGATTAGGCTCGTTGTAAATGGCTAATCGACTCTTCAAGTATATGTTAGGTTAGCAGAGGAGCAATAAATCGAAGAGAGTCCCCCATTTAAAGGGAGAACGTTCTCGAACGTCTTATCAGTGTTTGACCAGTCAATTAATTCCAAACCCTGTGGCACACACGGTATTAATCGGAAATATATCGTTTCTATGCCGAACTATAGTGTTTCGTAACGAGCAACACCTTGTCGTGAAGTCGATTTAGCACTTAGAGACAATAAAATAAATTGTTGCGAACGTATGGTCCATTCGACCTTGCCTCCTCTGAGTTATTGCAGCTTTTCTGCTACAGCGAACTATGCCGTAACCTTCGCGAGGGTTACAATGGCTACCTCGACGTCATTAATCCTCTTAGCCTTCGACAGTATTAATTAACATGTTGCATACAGACCGTGAACATTTATGCAAATATGCTGTTTTAATCGACTCTACTTGCGAAAACATAAGCCAGCGGTCGGTCATTTATTTCCCACCGACGTCGAATTTTCAAGAAAAATTGCTGTTCGATCTCCGATCAAATTATGCGGACAGCAATTGTGGTTATAGCAATTAATAATTCAAACAAGAGGAAAATTATATTACACGGATAATACCAGTTGTATAAAAAAATAGTGCACTATATGCACTTCGAAGTATACTTTTTCCAAGCACTCGAAATCGCAAGTACAATTTTTACAAATTGTTCAGATTTCAATTTGTAAAAATAACATCTACATGCAGAAATTTCTAAGCAGAGTAAAATAAATCTTCGCGCAAAATATAAATTATTCTCGTCGACTGCAACGAACACGAGCCAAATAGCTTCTTCGTTCCGTCAATAATTTCAGCGAGTCAAAACCAATTCATAGATGTCCTTAAATTCTTGTAATATCTTCGCTCTTCGAAACTTCAACTATCCATTTTTATTGCACATGCATAAAGTCCACGGTCTAGTTCTTGCACTCGTTCCACTGGCAGGCTAAAGAAAGCTTCTTAACGGCGTCAACACTATCGCCATGAATTCCCACATAGCACACTCCCAGCTATTCTACCATGCCGTACGTTATATCTTTTCCCCGGGCAGGTGACCTTCTACCCAATGATCATCCAAAGAATGCCGGGAACACACCCTTTAACGGTGCATTGCGCGTAACGTCATCGCTCGCCCACAGTATCCTCCGATTTCCGCGCCGAACGACCATAAGCGAATTAATAGGGGTCTCCCTCGGTCTGTCACTTGCAAAGTATTCGCAACATAACTTCCTCTTTCCGGGATATCGGACAGAACTCTATGTTCTTCGCAGGATTTTGGTTTCCAATTAATTGTTACTCGACCGCGGATCCTTATTGAAAAATAAAAATCGCACGAATCAATTGCAAAGAATAGAAGTTAAATAAAAATATATCTCTTCTTTCGATGATTTCAATCGATTTAGGAGAATATATACCGAGCTGATATTTCGAACGGATTTTTAGCACGAGCACGGACCTTTCTTATCTGAAATGGTTCTGAAAAATGTTCCAACGCCGTTTTTTCTTTTCTTTAACTTCATACAGAAAATATTGTACAGCGAATGATCTGAACCCATTTTGGAGCCTGAAGATTTTATTAAATTGTTTTCAGGTGATATAGAAATTGAAGAAGCTGAAGGCGTTGCTCGAAAATGGTGCAAGTTGAAACGTCTCTAAAAACATTGGGGAATCTATTTGTACGTTTGAAGCTTCCTCTTTTTACGGCTACTTGAAAATTGACGTTGAATTGTACGCGAAACTGTTAGCTTTTTTCATTTCTGTATCTGCGTACGCTACGTTATAGATTTCTCAGAAACTCCTGAGTAGAAGAGTGCAGCTGTTGTCAAAGTGTTAAGGGTAGACTCGACCGCGGATCTTGATTGAAAAATAAAAATCGCACGAATCAATTGCAAAGAATAGAAGTTAAATAAAAATATATCTCTTCTTTCGACGATTTCAATCGATTGAGGAGAATGCATTAGGCTATTACTAAGTATAAAATGCATACTCTATAATTTTATTATGAAACCTATGTATTTCGTGCTTAATGACCTAATAAAAATATTTTTAAATCCTTCCAACGGCATCATTACTTGGTATATCGACCAAGAAATGCATAAAATCCAATTATTACACCAGATCGTGCAATTTTATCGAGTAGACCGCAGTAACATTGTTTCACCACATTTATTTGTACAAGATCAGCAAAAGGCAATTATTTCATATTCCGATTTTAATGAATCCTTCCATGCAAAATCGTAATTAGCATGATGATCCGCGGCCTATTAATAGGCCTTCGTTCATGCATATTTTCCTGGTTTCTCGTAAAAAGGTGTACAGATTATTCCACACTTTTTCACGAATCCTTTTCTTGTCCGTTGATCATTTATTGCCGGTC